ATACATACATACAATACACACACACACACACACACACAATCTAAAATGATCTCTAGAATTAGAATGTCCTTCAGAGCACAGTTAAATAAAATATAAAATAATATAAACATTAACTGAAATAAAATATTCAAGTAGCTGCCAAAGCAACATTTTGTATCTAAAATATCTAAAACAACTAAAACTTAAAACATCAACAAAAACTCCACTAGTACGGTACTAAATATATATATATATATATATATATATATATATACATACATACAATACACACACACACACACACACGTACACACACACAATCTAAAATGATCTCTAGAATTAGAATGTCCCTCAGAGCACAGTTAAATAAAATATAAAATAATATAAACATTAACTGAAATAAAATATTCAAGTAGCTGCCAAAGCAACATTTTGTATCTAAAATATCTAAAACAACTAAAACTTAAAACATGAACAAAAACTCCACTAGTACGGTACTAAAATAACTGTTTAGTAACACCTGCTTCTGCCTAACAATAGTCATAGCTATTAATGGGATATTGATGTTTTAGTAGTGTTGCATGGGGTTCACAGGAGGACCTGGCTGATGAGTTTAGGGAGGGGCTTTCCTTCTCGTGCTCTTCGGCTGCGGACGAGAGAGAGTCGCTGGAGGTATGTTATCTCTTTGACATCATCTGATCCGGGGGCCAGTGCTCTGCTGGGTTTAGCCCAGGAAGAGCAGGAGATGTCTATGGACGGCGAAAAGGCTGAGGCTGAGCCTTCCCAATCCTCCTGCCCTGCGTATGATGCGCTGTTGGAAGTTATGGCTCGCGCCATGGCGAGGCTGGACTTGCCGTGGAAGCGGGCCAAGAAAGTGTCGCCGCAGGGTCATCTCGATGATCATTATCTTTCTGACCATAACCGTCCAGCTCAGGTGAGCCTTCCATTCCTTCCTGATTTGAATACTGAAATCGAGAAGGAATGGAAGAGGCCGTTTTCTTCTCGCATCTATCGATTCCAGCATACGAGTTGTGCCAACATCGAGGCAATGCGTGAAAACGGCTATGAGAGGATGCCCCCTGTAGAAGAGACGCTGGCTAGCTATCTCTCTTTGGGCGAATACTCCCTCCTTGCCATCTAAGCCCCTCCAGGATACATTGCGCTTAAATGGCAGGGCATACGCAGCAGCAGGTCAGGCTGTGGCTTCGTTGCACACTATGGCGGTGCTCCAGGCGTATCAGGCTGATCTGCTGAAAGACCTGGATAAAGGCGAGGGCCTTTCTCCTGATCAGGTAGCTGAGCTGCGCCACACCACAGATCTTGCTCTCCGTGCTACTAAACAGGCCGCCTCCGCCATTGGCAGGTCTATGGCGGCGATGGTAGTAACGGAGTGACATCTGTGGGTGAACCTGGCAGATATCGAGAAGAAAGAGAGGGGCTTTTGGTTGAGAAGTTCAGGGAGGCGAAGGCGTGCTCAGCAGCCTTTAAATCCTTCATTCCACGATGGTCCAGGTCTGAGCCCGAACAACATAGGGGTCCTGGTCCGTCTCGGCCTGAGGATCAGAGACAGGCACAGAGGGCTAGTGTTGCGACTCGCACTCCTCCTCCGCCCACGGGTAGGGGAAGGAGGAATCGTGGGTCAAAGGGAGGTAGGCAAGACCTAAGGGATGTGATCCAGACAAGGCGTCAGCGCTTTCGTCCAGATCAGAGTGATAAGTGAGTATCTACCATTTCCTTCGGGGGTGGCGTGGGAACCATGGTGGGTGAGTATAATCCATTCTATATATACAGTATATACAGTATATATATGTGTATATATATGTATTTATTGTGCTGGTGGTTATGTGTGTATAATCCTTTAGTGAGATTTCTTTGCAGCGTCTTCCGGGACCAGTGTGTTTCTGTCCTTTCTAAGGTAGGTCCTCTGTGAACACCCCTTTGCTGGATTCAGAAACCAGGTGCTCGACTTGCAGTGTTACCTCACTCGTCGATATTGTGTCCAGCCGGTATGATAGCCCTGGTTCTGGCTTCATGCTTCCTGGACCATGCAGCCAGGGTGTGATGCTGTCTCAGGCAGTGCTCCCCTCGCCTTAGAGGGTCGTATTTGAGCTTGCCTCTCCCGTTTGGACCAGTACCTCCGCGTATCTGGGATCAGATGCCTGGAAATTTAAATCCATGCTATGGTAAGTACACACGCTAAGCTCTGTGCACTTTCTGAAACCCACATAGTGGTAAATGTGCATGTTGAACACTTTGCACGCTTTCTAAAATCCACAGTAGTGGTAAGTGTGCACGCTAGACTTTGCGCACTTTCTGAAATCCTTTACGGTAAGGGTTACGCATTATAGCTTCGTTCCCTTTCTCTGAGTTGGTTAGACCCCGGTACCTTGGGCTCCACTCAACCAGTGTGTCTCTTTTTTCACACACTTGGAATTATCGCTCCCCTCACCATTGAGGGTTACTATGAGCATGCTGCTTCCTATCGAGCGCCCAGGTTCGCTCTGTGGGCTGTTCAGGTGGTAGGGTTAGCAGTGCTCCCCTTTACCAAAGGGTGGCCTATGAGCGCGCTATTCTTTCTGAGTTTGTGGTTCTCCTCTCACGTGAGAGTTTAGTTCTCTGTTTTCCCAGAGCACCTGGAACCAGTAGCATCAGGTGAACTAGGCCCTTCCAAATCCGCCTCTCTGATGCTGAAGTTTTTTGGTTAGCTTGCAGTACACTAACCTCTGATTTCTAACGATCATGCTGGGCGAGCCCCCTCTCTCATTGAGAGCTAGGTCTGTGTTCCCTCAGCTAGGTAACGTACCGCTGGCAGTTCCAGTATTGGAACATGCTGTAGGTCCGAGCCTCCCTCTCGTTTTAGAGCTGGGTATGTTGCTCCCTCAGCTAAGTAAATTATTGCTAGCTGTTCCAGCATTGAAACATGCGGTAGGTCGAGCTCCCCTCTCGTGTGAGAGCTGGGTGTTTGCCCCCTCAGCTAGAGATTTACTGCTTGCCAATCCAGCTTTATGCCTAAGATCGAGTTGGTGACTCTCAAACATATTGGGTTTTGTTGCACCATTCCATCTATGAGCTGCTCTTTCAGAGTGCCATGAGAGCCCCCCTTAGAACGGTATCCTAAAATCCATGTTATGGTAAGTGTTCACGTGAAGGCTTTGTGCACTTTCTAAAATCCACATTGTGGTAAGTTCGCATGCAATTCTTTGCATTCTTTTCTAAAATCCTATAGGGGATATTCGTGCCCTTTCTTGAGCTGGTTTAGCCCCATTCACCTTGGGCGCCACTTCACTTAGGTATCCTAGGATACCCACTTTAACAGGGTGTTGCCACTGGAGGTCTGTTGAGACAGTTCCTTTCAGAGCTTA